GAAGTTAGTTTGTTCCTGTTCCGTAGTTAAAGTTGTACCGAGTGGAATAAAAGTTGTAACCAGAAGAAAGAATTTGATACTCGGCCATCCACGGTACAATATGTTCAACCGCAAACAGCAAATGACTCAAAAAGGTGGCGGATCCGTAAAAAAAGCAAGAGATGAGAAAGTTTCTAAACTAAACAAGATATTCCTTTGTGAGTTCTATCACCTCTTGCATTGCCCCGATAAACAGTAATCACTCTGTATTTGGGCAAGCAGAAAAACCGAACCATCTTAGTATAAATCTGAAAAGTCTCGCTGACCTTATAAGGCGTTAGGAACACTCCAAAGAGATACGAAATAAATATGCCAGTGATTATCATTAACTGGAATAACGTTCCTAAGGCGCCCCTGATGCTTTGATGGGCAATTTCGCCAATATATAGAGGAGCCGCCACACAGCAGCCTCCTGCTGCCATTCCTGTAATTAGTCTAAAATTGCGAAATGTTGGCTGGCGATCGTAATAAAGGTATGTAGTTACAAACCTGCCAAAATATAAGGCCAAAATATTTTTTGCAAATATAATAAGAGCCCATCCCCCCGTAAAGGGAATTATCAGAAGCAATAAGGTTTTTCTGCGCCCAATTAAATCGCAAACAAATCCGGTGGGAATGCACATGGACATAGCTCCAAGAGCAGCAAACGACCCTAAAGAGTGAGGTAAATATCGTTGGAATGTAGATGCAGTGACCCAATATATGCACCTATCCATCCCATTTGGTGGCTATCAATTGCAATATCGTTGTATTTTCCATTAGTGAGATAGGCAGCAATTGGTGATGTCCAACCAAGAACTATGCCAGCACTTAAAGCCGATAAAGTTGCTAAAGAGAAAAAACTTATTTATGGGAAGTAATGGAATTACAAATGTAATAATCACCTGCAAAAGCAGCCCATATTTGAGGAAGTTTTGCAGGGGGTGTCAGGCTAGAGGACCCGGGGGTTTCAGTAGGGAGTCCTTCCTGCAAAAACCAGTTAAATAGCCAATAAATTATGAAAAATTTAGCTTACAATCCTATCAAAGTAGTCACTGGATGTCGAAGGATTTACATCAATATTGTCCAGCAACGAATCCCTATCTTGACTCATTTTAGAGGCTGAATAGAGCAAATTGTTAGTGGAAAACAGTTTTTTCTTTATTTACTCCAGACTATAAAACATACAACCTTTGACTTTTATTTGTTGTTGTACAATAACCTCAAATTAATCTGGGGCAATGAATTCTAACGTCACTTGTACTATTCTCTTTATTTTACGGGGGGCGTCCGATTTATATTTTTCCTTTAATAGTAAACGACAGAAAATATAATTTTGAAAAATCAAACTCATATGCGTTTTGTTAACTCAACCGATTGTGTTCGGGCTGAGAAGTTCTCATATCGTGTATATAAAAACTTTCGCTACGTAATAAGAAAAATATCGTCGGTTAAATATCGTTCGAAAAACGGTATAAAATGAGTCAGAAAAATTTTTGAGAAGTGAAAAAAAAAATCAGTGAAAAGATAGCGTTGTGTAAAGATCGCGGCCACTCAAAAACTGCTTAAAATTGATCAAAAATGTCGATTATTTTGAAGCTGAATTCTAGCGTGCTTTTGATGTGTTTATTACACTTCTCGGGTTCTTGTGAAGAAGAATAGTGTAGAATTTTAGGCATTTTGAGAGATTTCATATTTTTTGAGAAAATCGACCTCTACCTTTTCGGTCAAAACTCAAATTTTCAAATGCAAAAAATCTCATTTTCATATGGTTTTTTGAGCTCAATGAATTGTTTTCGCGCTAAGAAGCTCTCCAAATTTGCACATATAAAGTGTTTGGGTCTATAATAAGGAAATTGAACCGGTGAAAATCGCGGCCGCTCAAATACGGCATTGAATGGCCAAAAAATGTGGATTATTTTGGATGTGAACTTTCTAGTGTGTTTTTCAACGAGCTCACTGTATTTCTCGCTTGCTTTACATGGAAATGAAATAGAATTCTAGAAGAATCTTCACATTTTTGGAAAAAGTCGGTCTCCACCCTTTATGAAATTTTTGGTTAAAAATCAAAATTTCACATGCGTGTTTTTTGAGCTCAATAGTTTCTGTCCTAGGAAGCTCCTTAATTTGTATATACAAAATGTTTGGGTCAATAATGCGGAAAATATCGTAGGTTTAAAATCGTGACCGGCTTAAAATGGGCAAAAATTGCGCCATATTTGGGATGTGAACTTTCTAATCTGTTTTTAAATGAGCTAACTGCGTATTTCTCCTCCTTTAGATGGAAATGATGTAGAATTGGCGGAATTTTGAGAAATTTGACATTTTTTGAAAAAAAACCACCTCCACTATGAATTTTCGACTTAGAATCTACATTTTACGTGCGGATTTTCTGAGCTCAATGATGCAGCAGCAGCTTTTGATGATTTGGCCAAAATTCAATGTTTCGTTTTAGTGGTTTGTGTCAGAACTACACATATTATAATTGTTGTTTTATAAAAAATCCGAAAATGAATTGCACTTGGTTGAATAAGCAGCGAAAGACAAATATCCAAAAACTGTAAATTAGGTAAGCTTTCTTTCTGATAGTAAATTACTTAGAAGCTATTCGCAGGTAAGCGAAAAGAGCTGATTTTGAATAACATTTGGTCCGGTGGTATTAGGAAATGAAAATGTTTGTCATTCTTTTCCCGAGCGACTACTTGGGGGTATTTCAGCCGTGGTTTGCGCTAACTTCGGCGATTGCCGAGTATATCCTCCTTAAGCTATTCGTTAATGTAAAACTTTGCAAAAGTTTTAACGAGGACCTTTTTTATTTACAAGTGGAAAAGTAAAAACATCTTTTATTCCGGAAGGAATGGAACTTTGTTCTGGAATATATTTTGAAACTTTGTTGATGATATCGTATTAAGTGCTTTGAAATGTTTGAACATAAGCAGAATGAGATCGAGGCAATTTATTGGAAAACTGATAATTTTTAAATAAATACCCTCGCAGTAAGCTCAAAAATATCTTTAATAAAATCACATTTCATACGCATTCGGAAGAAATAAACTGGATCAAACATGCCTTTGGTGGAAGCTTTACTGGCAGGTTTGTCTCCATTCTGCTTCCATTTCCTTCTTCAACTGACTTAACTTAACCAGGCATTTATCACGCCAATCTCTCTTTGCTTTGAGCTTGTCCAATGGGACATTTGCCTCTAGTTGTTTGGCAATAGCAGAAACTGTTGGTCCTTCGTACTTGGGAGTGGGTTTAAATTCCTTGCTGACTGAGTACATGGTATTTGCGTAAGAATCACAATATTTAGTAAATCCTTCCGCGTTAAGATGAGTCGTTTCCAGGATGCCCAAGAAAGCGTATCGCATGCCTAGACCATCCGACATTACTTTATCGATGTCTGCCACATTAAGCACTCCATCATTCACCAAATGCCACGTTTCGTTCAAGATTGCATATCTGGAAAAATTAGAGTTAATTTCCATCAATATTTCCAACAATAGACAGACTCCCTACTGAATTCGGTTAACAGCGAAACCGGGAATTTCTTTTGAGAAGGAGACGGCCGTTTGGCCGATTTCTTCCATAATTTCTCTGGTTTTCTTCGCCACGGCTGGCAAAGTCCATGGTGCGGGCACGATCTCGACCAACGGTACGTAGTAAGGCGGGTTAACAGGGTGGGAAACGATGAAGTTTTGTCTAAAATTCACGGCTTTACCTTTATGCGAGAAAATCTTGTTTGTCCTACTTGTTTTTCAAATGATCACTAAAAGTCGACGGCAAAAATGTGGAAGTAGAGCTCGAAAATATGGTGTTGTTTCCTGCTACTTCATCCACACCTTTCCACACTTTGCGCTTCAGAGCCAAATTCTCCGGCACGCATTCTTGTACAAGCAGAGCATCTTTTACTGCATCTTCCAGACGCACAGTACCTAAGTATGAAAAAAAAAACAGGTAGTTCTTTTGCTCATAATTAGAGCAACTCTTTTTGGAAAATAAAACTTTCCAACCACTTATCGAGCACAGTGATACCTTTAATGCACGCAAACTGCTGAGCGGCATTTAGCTTGCCCCTAAGTTGCCCAGATTTTTCCAAGTTCTGCAGTTGTCCCTCAATATCAGCAAGGGCAACTTCGATTTGCTGTGGCAAAATATCGAAAATATGAACTTTATACCCTTGGGCGGCAAATAGCATTGCCCATGATCTTCCAATCAGGCCGCTGAAATTAAGAATTCCTGCCGTAAATTTTGAAACATGAACTTCAGTGCTTGAAACTGATTAGTTTTCCGGGCAAGAATAAAATTTCGTCCTGTGGCATGTATCTTTAGAAGTGATGAGTTTCTCACAGCAGTAAGAACAATAAATTCTACGACGGCCTGAAAGCCCCAACAACAAGGTTCGAAAAACTCACGATTAGGTTCAGAAAATGTTTTTTGAATATTGGCACTACAACATTTTGATTCTAGATTTAATAAATATCTTAGTGTTAATCAAATATAATTAAGCGCTTGGAGAAGTAGATATTTTCTCGTATACTCAATAAATCCGCAATTCATTGGCCAACAACGTTGAGTTTCAGCACTTGTCTTTATCTATGGTTTCAGCTTCGCAAAAATTAAATTTTATCTGATGTAAATATTTGTTCATAATATAAATGTATATCAATTGGAACATGATTGCGACAATGGCTGTTTTTTAACCTTGTGGGGTCACATACATTATTTATAATCCAATAACATAATGTAAAAAAAGTTATACCAAATAGTTCAGGTTTTCTAAAATTAAACCTCTAGCGTATCCAATTGGGAAAGCCGATCATGAAACATTGTATAAAATAATTAAATTTTAGCCGATGAATTTATACAAATTTTATTGGGATCTTTGTAAATGCCTTCGATCCCCAAATTTACACAAAAATCAATTGTATTTATTTTTGCGTGTGCATGGCAGATGGCAGCAGAAATTCCATTTTGGCCCGTAATCTTGCCGCATTATCTATCCTTTTTAGCCAGCCGTTCAAATTATCTGTTTGGCTTAATGAATGCAGACAGAATCGGTTAAGCATCTGCTTAATTTTCATTGATGAAATAAAAAAATTGCCCCGGAAAACTGCCAATTGCCCCCATTCCTTAAAATTATATCTTTGTCGCGAGAATTAACAACAGTTTGCTTACCTGCCGACAATTCCGATCTTCTTATTGGGAATAGGACAGGACATTTTGATCAAACCGGCTTAGTCAAGCACCTATTGTTGAATGAAAGTGTTAGCTTGAGCCTATATTTATGTATGCATTTTTAATTGATAAAAACGATAAAATGTTGTTTATGAAAAGTCGGTAATGTTAGGAAACAATTCACTATATTTAGCTTTATTTTTTATTTCGTAGAATTAAGCTACCAGATAAAATATTGTCCAATCATACCTGCAAGTTCTTCGGTGAAATCCCAACTGCAATGATTGAAAAACTTTGCAAAATTATTGTTGCCAACTAAATCCAACCGTGAGTTTTTAAATAGAAATTCTGAACAGTATTAAGTTAAGCTCACTAAACGCGCTGTCCATGAAATATCTAACTTGCAAGCCTTGCTATCGGCTAGAAAGCAGTCCATATATTGTATGAAAACAAGATCAATTAGTATATTCACATATACCAAGTCCATTCTTTTATGTTAACGCAATTACTGTTATTTTCTTCGAACAGATTGGATATACTATAGGCAATTAGGTAATGTTCCGCGACAAAAACAGTCAGGCTTTTAATCATGACCTAAAACCTTGTGAGGAAATTTTACTTCATTAGATTTATCTTTCATTTTTTCTATGCTGGTCCCCAATGTTGTTTTCTTGACGGATTGCAGTTCAACATTTAAGGTCAAAAACTGGTCAGGAGATTATGTTATTTTTCTGACTTCGAGAACAACAACGCGAGCAGAATTTTATTTTCGGGGTGTTCTAAACTTCAAGCAGTTTAGCGAAGTCTATCGCTTTCAAGGTCGGAAATTTGGGACAAAAGTGCCTGAAAAAAATATTTTGAACTGTTGAGATTGAACTTGGAGTGAAAGCGGGTCAAGCTCTCTTGCCAACTTGAGCAAAATTTTTGCCAAGCCCCATAAACGCTGCTTAGGAAAGGTTTTTAAGATTATTGCGAAATTTGCAGCCGTATCAATCTTAGTGGCCGCAAAATTTCAATGTCCGTCTCATAGGTTCTTGAATTTCGTATGCACTTCCTTCACTGGCTTCACGTAATAAATGTTTCCTCACATTTTATCCCAAACGAAATCAGTCGTCTGGTAAGCAAATTGATGCTGCATAACTGGGATTATTGAAGACAAAGTACGTAGGTATAGGTACAGTAAAATAGAGATGTAAATCAAACCAGTTGGACGGGCGTGTGCAGAATCGTCTAGTCATATATATTTCAAAGGATTAGCAAACCTCCTAATAACAATACAAGGTAAACGTAACAGGCAATTTAATAAAATTAGGCATTTATCTGGAGTTAGGTAACGCACGTTCCTTAATCCCTTAAACAATTCATAAATCTTAACTAGCAAATCCTTGAAAGGGTTGTGCGGCGTCCCATTCTCCAGATTGGTGGGTAATCACTTGCTCATTACTTATCCTCGTAACTATTTACATGTCATCCTGAGACAAATCGTTATTCAGGGCTTATCTGGAACATTTAGAGACTCTTGGATATTCGTAAAACCTTAAAATGGCATTTTCCTGATATTCTCGCATCGCCTCTAATGAATCCTGCCGCTAGATCTTTTGCATTATTTAAACATTTACGAAGTAACAAATGGAGCAGCCGCGATTTATGTTATTGAGCCATTACTACTATACCCTAAGAGGATTTTCCAGTGTGGTGTAAATGTGGAGGACATTTTCTAGAAACATTACGAACATCTTTGAAGAAAGCGCATCTGATCAATTGCACTTTCGCACGTTAAATGGCTGGAAATTGTGCTTAATTGTGTTGAGAGGGACGTTTTTCACCTTGAAGCCAAACTGAATATAATAAGGTGCAAATCCCTCCTATCTTAGCAGATTTAATTTAGAGATAAAGACTATAATTTAAATTAAATTATCCCATTACGGTCTTTAAGCTCGTTTCGGTAATCGATACAAAACGAATTGGCAAGAAAGAAACCAGAACGACCCTACAGAGTAATCAATAGCGGAAAGAGAATAATGTTACCGATAACTTATTTAATGAGGTATTCGCGTTCTTTGGAACCTACCGAAATTATTTTGGCCTGAAAATATACGGACGTCCGCAAAGGAAAATTGCACTTACAGATTACATACGCAATTATACGTATTAATATTGCTGTAGCGAAATGAGTTTTGAAGCTGATGAGTTTTTACACAAAGAGACACTTGTGCTCGCCAAACGTTAGGAATAAAATCGATTCCACTAAATTTTACTCATGTCGGAGATCGGTTTGAAACATTTTCTTTCAATTTGCCAGCTTGAGCCTTGTTCCCGGTGATTTGGGAATAATAAATAAATTTTTTTCATTGTTGCTCAAGCCTTTATTTTTCACTGTTGTTAAATTAAACACTCGTCATTAGTATTGCTTGATGTAAGGAATTTTATTTTTGCGTATAAAATACCAATGCACTATTTACGAGAACAGTAACCAGGAATTTATGTTATTTGAAGTTGCAATAGATAAATAAAAACAAACAATATTGGGAAAATGAATCACTTTCTTCGGTTTCGTTTTCAATTCGCTTCTTTTGGACAGTATCGGGCCTTAACTGTGTGTAAGTTTCGTGGCGGTAAACATGCAGTAAAAGTATCAAGAAAAAATGAGGAACTCATGCAACAAACAATTTAATTACAAAAATTAACCGTTGGTTTATTGCTTCGGCATTTTTGGCACGCGGAAATAAGCGACACACAAATAGAAAATGTATAGATAAGTTGAAGTATTGGAAAAATCCACGGAAACTGCCAACATTCGTCAATAAATCAGATCAATATTTTTTATATTCTTCCATACTTCCACGAATTATTGTAACAATTTGATGAAAGACATGCATAACATCCACTTTCCGTTTGTTTTCTGTTTTGTTTTGCTCTTTCTGTCTTGCTCGGTGAACAATTAATAGAAACGGAATCACAATTATTGCGGCTCCGCCAAAAAGGTTGGGACCTTCCAATGAGCTTCTGGAGGTGAAAAAGTGTTGATAATTGCGAAATAAAACTGATTAAAAACTTAAATTACCTTTTAAACAAATAATTACATTTAAAAAATCGAAATCCAACATTTTGCCGTCTTATTATTATGCTCGTATCACGGCAACACCCTCGCAAACACGATTAGGACCAAGTTAGAGCAGCTTAATACCCACCTATATAGATAAAGCCAACTTCACACTGGTTTCTACTTTGACGTTAAGCCGGGGGATTATTCATAACTTTGAGTCAGCTCTTAACTCGGGTTTCAAGACTAACTTTTTGTTTTATTTGTCTAGCCAATAATTTTATTTGATCGCTCATTTTGATGTTTTATTGGCGCAAAGAGCGATCTGGAAACTTTGCCATTGCAGACATCGAATAGAGATGTTTGAAATGAAAGTTTGATTGAAATGAACGAAATTGAAAGAACCTTTGAAGCTCTATTTTCCTCTAAAAGTCAAATGCAGAAACAGGTTGGTTTCTGATAGCGTTTTTAAGAAATTGTTTTTGAATTTCTTACTAATGGGATACCCTGAACATATACAGGGTGATTAAATTTTGAATGAAAAAAAATCCTCTGAGAGAATTCGCAAAAAAATGGAAATGTTCACATAAATGTATGTACGTACTTTTCGAGACACCGGGTGTTGAAACTGGTTTTTTCGCTTTAAATCGAGCAATTGTTGAGGTATTTACTTCGGATTTGGAACGTAAGTTGCGTTTTGGAGTCTACATTGTTCAATAGTTATACGAATGTTATTATTCTAGGGGTTAAGTCGCCTTTCACCAGCCCGAACTTTTTGGTGGTGCGTCACTGGAGTCTGGCTGCACAAAATTTCCTTATTCAATTTACAAACTTTCTGTTCTCTTGTATTTTTCTCTTATTTTTGTAAGTTTGTTATTTATTGAATTTTGGCTATTAAAAATTTCATGAGTCTGGCAAGAAACAACATGACCCAATTTCCTTTTTGCTAAAAAATACAGCCACTCAGATTATTTTTAAAAGCGACTTTTAAGTTGCAACATTTCTCAAAATGCCTTTTTAATACTTACCAGATTTTCCGCATGTAGAAACCGCATTCTGCTGGGAATATGATGTAAAACTGTACACATCATTAAGTCATTATGTTATCGCGTTACATCTGCCAATCATAATGCTTAGAGGAAATAGGTAAAGAGATTTGCCAGATAGGATGATCAATTAGCGCGCTCATTTCAAAGCCATAATCATTTAGTGGAGATTGATATCAAATTGGGTTGGTCAGGGTTGCCAAAATGGCAAGCAAACCAAATTAATTTCTTTAAAAAAATACAACTCTTCTAGCAGTGTCTGGTTCGAATTAGATAAAAAGGCGAGTTTGACGCAAAAATATCCCTCATGTTAGCACTAAGGTTTCACTGACTGTTGGAAAAATAGCGCCTCTCTTGCTGAAGTCGCAAAAAATGGATGAGGGAAAACTTTCTATGTGAGAAAATCAGCAACTTTATTTTTTTGATGGCAAAGGCTTTCGCAGTCATCGTTTGGGCAATCCGTGATTTTCAGATTTTTAAAACGTTTGGCATCTCTGACCAAACATGTTAATTGTCTCATATTACTAAAAAAATTGAATATTACCAATTCGCACTATTCTTTGATGGCTGAAGTCGGCAAGATGAGGTTGCCAAACTCGAATCTACTATTAATTTTAATGGTTTTGTGCACCTGGTTTTGCCCAGAAGTCCATTCGGAAGTAAGTTCTTAACGACTTTTAATTAATTGTACGTTCCATCAAAATTCATAAAGAATTTAAACTTCAATTTATACAAAATATCATCCAAAATTAAATAATTATGGAACCTGGTGCCGATATAAGGTGTATATTTTAGATGGAACACCTGTAAACATTTTTTACAATCCAACTGTAGTAGTAATTCTTCGCTCTGGCTTCGTACTAATTTACCAGAAGATCATTCAACATTTGCAATAATTAGCGCGATATAATTAAATGTTTTTACCGGACGTTTGAGCACTAATCAGCTTATACGCTTCTCTAGCTCTATTTGCTTAAAAGCGGTCAGGCGTTTAAGAGTCCCATTTTGCCTTCAGGCAATTCCGCAATTTCTTCGTGAAGTAAAAATCGACCATTTCCAGCAAAAGTTAAAAAAATCCAAAAGTATTTTGGATTTATAACCGAAATGAGAATTAATTGGAAGTCATTTTTCGAGGTTTTACATGGAAATTACTCATCGCTACTTTGAGAAAGCGAATCCCGGCCACCATTAATATTATTCACAGTAATTGGACATTATAAGGAAACATGAGCTGTGGTTTATTTAGTTTTTCCTGAAATGGAACACATTTAAGTCACTATAAATATATAAATAATGACCAGCTCGGCGAGGTTGGTAGACTACCATCATTCATTATAATAATCTTTAGATTAAAAACCTGCAAAGAATGAAGCTAAATTATGTATTCAAGGGTAAAATGTAATTTTTTTTGCGAAAAAAATCTCAATAACTTAGTTTGCTCAAAGTCTGGTACCTAATTGTTTTCTTTGTAAGCTATTAAACTGCGCGGTAAATTTATTATGGAATTTTATGTTGTAAGACTGGCGGCGCGTGAGGGATATTAAAGTTGAAAAAGTTCAAAATGTTCGGAAGATACATAAAGACGAATAGATTTTCTGCATTGAAAATTAATTAACCCAGGATGAATATATAGTGAATCTGATTCTTTAAGTATTTGCAGACCTTAAACCTGAGCTGAATTAATATTCTTGCGTTCAAGACATTTAGGCAAAGTGCATATATCTAAACATTATTGTTATGGCGACTTCTCGCCACCCTTATGGTATAAACTAAACCAGCTGAACTACTTTCAGTTTAACTTCTTGCGAAAATGTCTATGCAGCTTACCCTCCTGAATTTTTACGGGTAATGGGCGCGCTATTCATACTTTCAAACGAGAAAATGGCCCTATTATTTAAATCGGGAGATTATTTAAATTATCGGAAAGCCGCGGGTTTTTATTGTTTTCACTTTTATAGCAATCTCTATGACGCATTTAAGATCACTATCAGATTCAGAGCATGACTAAGATGTATCCTCTGGATCTACTTCGCAACTTACAACGAATCAATCACGAAAGCCGATATTCTGGAGACTAAGAATATAAGGCTGCTTTACATAAACTGTGTTTTCTTGTGGAAATAGCACAACATCCTTCTGTAAATCCTGTTTATCTGAAATTTTCTGAAAAGATACCGTCGAATTCTATCTGTTTTTGCTTCAGGCACGAAAGATGTACGTCAACACGATAGCAAACTGCAAAGATTTCGAAAATTCGCCTCTCAACTGGAGTCAAATAACCTTCGATCGCGATCCAATTACTAAGGACTTCTCTTTCAACATCGAGCTAACCGTGCATAAGGAAGTTAGTAAAAAATTCGGGGTAAGTAGCTCGGCATTAATATTTTCCTATGGACCGCCGCTGGTTTTCCAAGGAAGCTGGTCTTAGTACGATAATCGATTCTTAAAATATGCAGGTCTACTGCAGCCATGTTTCTTTAAGCAGAAAGTAATTAACTATCTAGGATACACTCACCTAGGCACATTTTATTTAAAATGTTTTCCCTACTTTAGCTCAATACTGACATTTTCTTTAGCGGGTTCAGAGTAATTGATTGAATCCATTCCCCACAATTAGTTGCTTCTGAGTTTAACATAGAATGAACCAAATATTGACATTTTTTTATTTTAGTTCAGCAATCTAAAATTCTATATATTGGTATACTGCAAAGTTGAAGGGTTTTTAACAATTTGCAAAACGCTCTCACATGGATTTTTGTTATTTGTTGATTAAATGGCATTCTATCGGCTTTTTTTAATGGTGTAACTTCCACCCCTTGGCAATAGGTGAAGCATTTCTTCAATTAGAAAAACGACAAACAACAAAACAAACTAGTTGTCCAGTAGGAATTTTTATGGGGAACTGTGAACCAACTGTGGCAATTTTCGTGTTGAAACTGATAAACAAGGAATGAACAAAGACAAACTATATCTGAAGATGCAAGCAACTCGTGCTTCCGAAACGTCAGGATCGTTTCATCAGTTTCAATACCAAAATTGTCACAGTTGGTTCAAGATTCTATATATGCTTCAAGAAAATTGAAAAGCACGCTTTTGAGTTAAACTTCTCTGAATTCGTGCACGCAAAACGCCACCAATTTTTTCCCCATCAGTGTTAGTACGAAAATTGTCATAGTTGGTTCAGAATTCCACATAAACAATTGCTATGAATCAGCCAAAAGAAGGCTCTGAAGATGCAAGCGCTGATGTTGGCGAAACGTCAAGAGGAACTTTTTCCACGTCGTCTGAAAACTCACTATTCTGATAATTTTGTTAATTTTAGATAGAATTTAATATATGGAAATGTGAGAACGAAGGAAGCCTGGATAGTTGCGAATATTTCCTCAAAGAGCAGAAAAACTTCAAAATATGCTCCTACCTTCTGGACAAAAATCAGTTTTGGTCAGTATTCACGAAAGCGTTCGTGCCTCCTTTAGTATGCCCGATTAAAACAGTGAGTATTTAGTGAGTTCGGTTCATCGGTACGAAATTCAATATCGAGAAAACGATAAATAAAAGTAATTGGCTAATTGAAAATTGATGAAACGTCTTTAAGGTAATTTAGTTCTTTAGAAATATACCGCTTAGGCCATTGCATTCCTAATTAAACCAGCATGAAAAATAAAGCGTCTTCCTAATCTTCGTCTTTAAACTATGGCGCTCGAAACTTTGGAACTTCTATAAAGGGATCTAAATGGATTTGTTTACTAATTAATCTCTTAAGCTTCACCATCAAATTATTTCGATTTATCCGCATTAAAATTTATTATTCCTGCTGTAGAGTGGCAGAGGTTTTAAAATTTAAATTGACTATTTTAAATAAATTTTATGCGCCCCTGCCAGAAGTTGAGATTTGTTTTATTTACTGATTTTGTGCATGAACTGTTACAGTGAACTATGATATCGCGACTACCAGAAAAGTAACTTTTCTCCAATGAATATCAAGCCTGCTGATTATGTACTTCCTATGTTACAGGGAGTATATAAAGCGATGAAGATTCCATTTCAAAGTTCCTACATCAGATTTTTGCCAATACAGCAACCAGTTATCCGAGGCCGTCTGATTGGATGGGATGATACTGTTAAAATTTCCTGCGTTGATATAGAAATTGTATTCAGCACGGAAAAACGTGGATAAATTTGTCTAATAAAGGGTTCATGCAAGATATTAATAATACTGTCCTGTTATTCCGTTATAACGCTTCAACTGTTAGTTGCTTTATCTGCAGGCTTTTTCGATTGTTGCCTAAAATCCAAACCAGTATATAGATTTGAAAAATTCTGAAGAAATGTTGTTGACATTTTCTACTTGTTCTTCTCAGAGAAGGTGGCAATTTCTTTATTCAGCAAACCCAAAATAATCCTAATGTCCACGGATAAAACAGCTGCATGTTGCACAACATAATTCGGAATATAAACATTTTAAGGCACGCCAAACACTATCACATGCAAGGTAGTAAAGCGAGTGACACTAATGGTCGCCGCAATATAATGCAATTAAATGGTCTTAATGGATTTGCACTTACCATTTACTTTAGCTGCAAAGTGTCTGTTAACTTGCAGATAGGTTCTGTAATCTATTAGCGATAATTGCACCTGAATGTATTTTTTTATCGCAGAGCAATGAGTTTTTTAATTACCTTTTAGCAGAGAGAGAGTGTTCGGAAATTTGAAAGTTTTCATTGCTGTTGAGCAAAAGGGGTTAATATTATTAGAGAAACATAATTCAATAAATATGTGCCTGCTGGTAAAAGTAATGCATGGAAAATATCATGAATGTAAGTCAGAAAATTTATTGCGAATATAAAAAAAATTACAAACAGAAAACACATATGAAAAAAGGATATTTTTGGTCAAGGAATTGAATGGAATGCCACAACGATTTTAGCAACGGAGTCGCCACTAACAGTGTAAAATCATTGCATTATTTCAGTTTAATATTGTCTTTTTGTGTCTTATTTAAATAAAAAAGGGGCGAACTGTTAATTCCTCATAGGAGACCTTTCCAAATACATTAAATTTTTAGCAAAATTCCGAAATAATATACAGGGTGTTGGTAAATAAACAAGAGTGTGACTTATGATTCGTTTTCCGAGACACGGGGTGTTAAAGATTTTCTTAACAACTGACGATATATCCAGTGGCGAATCCAGAACTTCGTTCTAGGAAGGCTAATTTGATATTAATTTCTGATCGAAATTGTTTTTCAACTGACATTTCCTAAAAAAACGTTTTAAATTAGAAGCCGATCGCATAATAAGTAAACATTTAATATTTGGAAGGACCAACAGTGATGTGACTCTACAGGGTTAGTCAAAAATCCCGCAGCAGCCAAATATTTCAGCGATGATTGCGTGCAATTTTTTGCCATTTTCTACACCGGAATTTTCAAGTATACTTGATCCAATGTGCACAAATGCCCAAACTTTCATATTTGAAAGACTGTATTTTTATTTACCTGCACTTTAAAAACTAAATAAAAACGTATTATTGTAATTTAAAATAGGTCGATTGAAACTTTTAAGAAAATGACTACATTCATGGCAACTTCGCCCATATTAAATTTCCGAAGTTTTCAGGCAATAGTTTCTGAAATATTAGGCTGCTATTGGACCTTTGACTTGCATACAAGCTTTTAGAGGGAGATATTTTGGAACCTTCAACTTTAACATTACGTTAATGCTCCTATCGTTAGTTCAATAACGATGAGCATAAAAAGCCGGCAAAGAGAAGCAACATTTTTAAAACGCTTGATTTGAATTTTTTTGAATTTTTTAAACCTGAAAATACACCTACCTTTTCACTTTCCACACATCTCGATGCGTTTCTATAAAAGAACCTTCACATGGAGAAATAAGGAAAGAAGGAAGAACAAATATGACTTATTTGTAAAATATTCACACTGGACCAGCTTATTTTATTTTGGGTAACAAGAAGCAAAAAGAGGCAGCCGATTTTTTCAGCGTAAAATAGCTGAATGTTACTTCTAAAAAGACAAATTAATGGCACCCCGTACAAGTTGGAGTTAAATTAATATAAACGTAAAATTTTTTATTCAAGTAAACCCCTAAATACCAAATTTCAACAATACGTTGTTACACAATTAATTTTATGTTCATTTTTGGCGCGCATACGGGTCAAACTTTTAAAGAGGAAAATGGTACGCCACTGGGATGCTTCAAATTAAAAACCTGTTTTGAAGTCCTCGTTAAATTTTCGACAAAAAATCTCTTGTTTTTTTTCGAGTCGAGCGCCGTTTCGAGGCGAAAAAATAGAACACCATTCAGAAACTACTACACTAACAAAATTATTAGCTTTACATTTTTTGCTATTACTTATGAAACAACCTGTAGCACTTTTATGGTTGGTGCTTAATCGGCTCTGTTAATAAATTCGGGCATTTGCAATATTCGTTTATTCTTTCGTTCGTTAGGTTTGCTATAATCTGTAGAATCCAGTTCGGCAATTTTGCAGTTTCAAGTCATTAAGCAGTCCGAATCACTTTGTCTTTTTCGAGTGAGCCACCGTTGAAGTCGGAGTAGCTTAATCAAGCATGGAGGAAATCATTTATTTGAGCCGCATATTCAATCAAATCGTCAGGACTGACAAAAGCATTAATAAAACAGAGTTCCAAAGAGCTTTTTTCCTAATGTCTTAAGTAGACCTTTCGGCTTACATAACGCAAACCCTCGAATTTATGGCTGGTTCAATAGGACTTGTCAGGTCAGTTGGCTTTGTGAATCGCTTCCATTATAATCGTTGTCGCGTAACACCCTACCAAAGCTGAGTGTCCCGGTGAGCTGAGGGATTCTTGATTGATGACATTGTCTCTGCTGCGTCGCTGACTCCCTAATTCCGTATTGCCTTATACCAGATGGGATTCTCTGTTTTTTCGCATTCGCCTTCAACCCAATGTTTCACACAATGTTTTTGTATCCTTTACGAATACACCCATCCGCACCTACCACAATCTTGCGCCAGATTTCCGGACATTGGCTGGACATTATAAGGTGACTTTATTTCCGTCAAATTTGTGGGAATTTTAAAATTGGCACACACTGTTTCATTTAACATGCGTTTATTTTGTTGACTGCAGTCAGTTGCAGTAGCTCCTGATTATGCTAGAAAATGGTGATCCACTCTCAGCATAGCAATGAGCTGATATATACCGCAGTTAACTATTTACTAAACGTGGACGGAAAGCAACAACTGAATTAAATTGTAATTAGCCGCTTAATAAACAGCTACAGTTAATTATGTAAATTTCATTCCCTTGTATTCGGCAGCCGATGTTTTATTCCTTACGTAGTTTTGTTTCATTTTTCATAATTTCCTCGAGTACTTTCATCTGAATGTGATTTTCCAATTTTCAACATTTTCCTTTATAAAAGAGCAATTTGCCATTTATTCCGCCGGTAATGCGGTTTCTTGGTGGATTAAAGCAAAAAACCCAAGAATAATGCCGTCCATTGAAATATGAAGTGCATCGAAAGCTGAACTGCATTCTTTCAGTTAATATTAATCACACTCTTCTCTATTCAGCGATTAATTGTAATTTTATTGGAAATGGTTTTGTAGGGTCTGCCCTAAATAACGGCCAGGTAATTAATATTCCCGTACAGCACGGATAATTTATAATTAAACGGAGTAAAAGCGCGTTTGTCGAAATACTTAATCTGTGTTTTTGTCTGTATTTCGTTTCACCTAGTACGAGTCGGTTAATTAGTTATGTCAGATTCCTGTTTAAGCCACTGAAAACGTAAAGCGAGCAACTGCAAAAACGACTGTTTTAACTATTTCAATCACCAGCAGTGAATACCAATTCGAAAAAACAGTATTGCAGTTTGCAACCCAACAGGATAGTACTGACATTAACGTTGCATCTAACGTGTCAAGAAACTAACTGAAACTAAGTTTCTCTCTTGCCGCTGGCTGTCGAAAAGATAAATCTAACTAGCAGCAGTTTATCTGCTTTAAGCCAGCACGTAAAGTATTAAAAAATTGAAATCCCCCAATGAACCGATAAAATTTATTTTGGATTGTTTCAGGCTCGAACAACAGAAATAAATCGTGAAGACTCAGCTCAAAATCAGCGGCGACTATTAGATTTATTTACTGTAGATTTACGACAAATACGTAAACAGAAGAATGCAAGAAATGCATCGAGCTAAATTTGTTTTACTTCAACAAACCAGACTTGCGATATGTTCATTGGGCAATATCTACTAGACACTAATCATTTGTTAATCATTTGTTAATCTATTAGGATTTAACCCGCAAACAGCGCAATATTCGGGAGAATTCAGTTTATTTTAATTTTATTATATTTTTATTATAAGTAAGTAAGGTTTGCCAACCTCAGGCACCCCCAGGAATTCCAATTTGGGAATTTGTGATACACCTTCTTATCAGGAACTTTCATCCCTATTGAAAATATTAAACATCAATTTCAATCAATTAAGATAGCAAATGCAATAATTGAGTCATATTTATTTGTCGAAACTTCTTATAAACTATCATTAGTGTATTTCACTCTAAAGCGTAGAAAGCAAATGTCGAAAATTTGTACTTTTGAATCAACAACTTAGCATCCTTCTCATGAAAAGGATCTTTCATTCTCTTCAAATTCTGTTTTCGTGGCTAACTGGGGTTTACAAATAGTAACATGCATTTTTAAGTGGTCTTATGAACCATTTTCTCAAAAGCCTCTGAAGGACGTAACTTTCGTGAAACTTTTATATATTTCCATAGAAAGAAATCCAGTGGTCTAAAATCCGGTTATCGTGCTGGCCATTCGATAGGACCCCAACAAACCAGCACGCATTGATGAAAATTTCAGTTCATTTTTCCAAATCGAAATATTGTCCTAAAATCACACATACTTATTGACTTTTTGGAGAGATTCAGTGAGCCACAATCGAAAATTCTTCTGTTAACAGTGCAATTTAAATACAAACTTGTTTTATCAGAGGAGATAATATTGTGCGGGAATTGAATCTTCTATCTTAATTATCCTCAAGAAGTTATACAGGGTGTTTCTTAATTAGTGTCCGATGTTCCATAGGACCCTTCAGATTTTTCTGAGATTAAAAGTAATTTTTGATGCAATATCGGTATTTCAACGCAGAATGGTATTTTGGGGTTTTGCAGCATGAGAAACTGGTCTGCAAGTGTA